TCTCTCTCTCTCTCTCTCTCTCTCTCTCTCTCTCTCTCTCTCTCTCTCTCTCTCTCTCTCTCTCTCTCTCTCTCTCTCTCTCTCTCCCCTTGGTGACAACGACGACGGCGGCGATGACGTGGCAGCGGGAACCAGCTCTCTCTCTCTCTCTCTCTCTCTCTCTCTCTCTCTCTCTCTCTCTTCGGGTGTCGGAAACTTCGGCTATGCCAAAAGAAGAAGAAGAAGAAGAAGAAGAAGAAGAAGAAGAAGAAGAGGAAGAAGGGGGGAGGAAGAAGAAGAAGAAGAAGAAGAAGAAGAAGAAGAAGAAGAAGAAGAAGTAGAAAGGGAAGAAGAAGGAGAAGAAGAAGGAGGAGGGTTTTCCCTCACTCGTCACTGTGACGAAGTGTCGAAGTGACGAGTGTGGTTGTCTTCACACTGGGTTGCGGGGGCCGTCGCTGGCCAGTTCGACTTCGGATGTTTTCCTGCCAGAATCTTGGAAAACTGGCGGCCTATCTGGGCCACCGATCTCATCAGATCGACGGCCCAGATAGGCCGCCAGTTTTTTAAGATTCTGGCGGGCCTACTGGACCCGGTTCAATTTTTTTGGGGGCCGGGAGGCCTCCACGATCCGCAGGGAGGCCTCCCAGCCCCCAAAAAAATTCAAAATTTGCCGCGACAAGTCGGCGCAAATTCCAACCGGGGGGGAACCGGCGTGGTCCACCGGCTGGTGCCACCGGCCCGGTTCCGGTGGGGGAACGGCCCCCCGGTAGGACCGGATATTTAGCCCTGTTTTCAGGCCCTCATCAGTTCGACCCGCCCTGAAACTCAGGCAACAAACCAGGGGTTTAGCACAGGCCATTTCGGGCCTGTTTTCAAGACAACCCCTGGTTGAGCTTCAACGCCAGGGTCTGGCACGTTTCAGCATTGGCAAGAGCAGCCTCCTGGACGGGCCAGCACTATATAGGACTGGCCCGCCCTGCAGGCCGGCAGGTAGTTCCTAGATACTTCCCAGGCACCTCACGACCTGTTCAGGAGGCAGGAGGTAGTCTTCAGGATTCGGCAGCAGCACTCTGGAGGAGCGCTGCAGGAGTAGTTAGCAGTAGTCTTCAGCGCTGGACGCTAGTAGCGTTAGCAGTAGTCTTCAGCGCTGGGCGCTCTTAGGAGCTAGAGTAGTACTAGAGAGAGAGAGATTGGGCGGAGGCCAGGGATACTTACCTGCAGCGCCATAGCTCCAGCTTTGCCTCCGAGGTACCTGCAGCACAGCGCCAACTTCACAGCTGAGTACCTGGCATATGAGAGAGAGAGAGAGAGTTCTTCCTCTTCCTCTTCTCAGTCCATCATCTCCATCTCACCCTCTCGCTACCTGACTTCACTGCATCAGCAGACTATGAGAGAGCGGGCTTGGTGACATTTGGATCCAGACTCAACATTTGGGCTTCAGACATTTTGACGAGGGATTATTTGGGACTTGTAACAAAGACTTGGTGTTGACGTCATTCCCATCTCTCCCCCTCTTCTTCGTCTGTTCCCCTCCTCCTCGTCTGTGCATGATCTGGACCTGGCGCCTTCTTCCTGTGTAGAGCGCCAGGCCCCTTCACACTTGTGATGAGAATGATGTATGTGGGGTCTGTGTTGAAACGTTGATTGGGCTAGTCATTGGTATCCTAGCATTCTGCTGTGCTGTATTGCACTACGTGATAGAGGTCAGTCCCGGTCAGGTCAGGACTTCTATCTAAGTCTTCCACTGCGCCACAAGGCGCCATTTTGTATGTATCAGAATGCACATCGCTTGTTGAGATTCCACTTGCACTGCATTGTCCATTGAGTCCTTTTTATCACATTGCGGATCCTTGGTTCTTATGTACATCGCCCAACTGGGCATGTAACACCCTGGCTGCCTTTTTCGTACGTAACTGAGGCAGGCCCTGGGCCAGATACACAACAAGGGCCGAACACAGGCTGCAGGCAGTTGGGCACAGGCAACCATCACAGGCCCTGGGACTGATTCCTTTGGACCGAGGCTCAGCCTCTCGGGGCCTACTGGAAGCTTCTGGGCAGGGGCCCAGCGCAGCGAGGCCACACGCAGCAGGCAGGCCACTTCCATTTAGGAAAGTGCCTGCCCTCGCATTGGGCATTCGGGCACTGGCTGCATGCCGCGCAAGCGCTGCTGCGCTAAACGCTGGCCAGCGCTCACGCGCTCACGGGCGAGCTGGAAGAAGAACAGGCAGCCATAGCCAAGCTGCGCTGCGCTATGCTAGATGGGGCGCATGGTGGTCCTTGGGTGCATGTGGCATCTGTGAGTGGGGGATTGAGGTTGTGAGTGATGTGAGAGACATACCTGGTGCTTGAGGCGAACGGCATTGGCCGAGATCTGCTCGTACTTCGGGGAAGCTGTTGACGTCACCAGCGGCATTGTAGATAGGCTAGATAGGATCTGCCATTTGTAGTCTGGGTGCAGAGCGCCAGATAGGAAATCGACGTTGGTTCTTTGTTGATGATGATGAGACTATTCCAACATCGTCACTTGTGAGCTTTTGCTGTGCTCTTATTTGGTGGAACTCGAGTTGCGATTCTGCTTTTGGTTCGAGGTCATGACTATCTGGTTTCATGTGTATGATGCTGCTTGGTTTCTGGAATTTGCTATCACTCATTTTCCGTGCAAAAGGCTCTAGCTTTGTCAGTAAATGGGAAGCGAGCTGCTCTCTTCACCCCAATAGAACACCCAAGCATTATAGCCGTATTTGGGCCAACTTTCAGTCCAGATACAGTGATAATGAACCGACGTTCTATTTTGGGTGAAGACGGTAGTTGTCTGCCTATGCCCATCCGAAGTGGATATTCTTCGTCACAACCTGAAGGAACAATTTGTGGTATGTTTGAAAGAATTGACGGGGTGTAAGCAGGGTCCTGATTCCTCTGTTTACTTTCCTTTCTGTTTTTCTTCTTTAGTTCGCTCTTTATTGCTTCCTCTGTTCAAAGTACTTTTGACAAGCACACTAGGTAATCGAGCGCTTTGGCATATTCATGGTATGATTATGATTCCCGCAGGGTACAAGCCATAATCTCTGCGATCAAAGAAGCAGAGGAGCGCAAGAGAAGTGAGATGGAGGAGCTTCTTCTGGATTACTACTTCCAACAGGCTGAAGAGAGATGGAAACAGAAGTTGGAGGACCTACACCTAAAGGTACTCTCTCTCTCTCTCTCTCTCTCTCTCTCTCTCTCTCTCTCTCTCTCTCTCTCTCTCTCTCTCTCTCTCT